GAATAAATATGTGGGACAAGATGAGCTAAAACACAGTTCACAAAATGTGAAATACAAAAAATATGATAATATTCGTACCTCATACTGCTAAATAGTGCATTCATTAACTGCTAACGGCTATTTAGTCTTTTTTCTTTCCGTAAAACTTATTTTAGATTTTAAGACTCTTGACATTATGTAGTTTACACTTTTTAACAGCGTTGCCACAGTCATTAGAATTTTTCCTAAGTTTATTCAATTAATCATTCAAAAACTTATCCAATTATGATACCCAAAAGGTATCATTAGGAGGTCTCTTATTCGAAACCTTTTAAAAAAATGGTTTAAATCGGTTCATTATTTCACCTAACCCCCATACAACTGGACTTTCCGATTTGAGATTTTTAGCTCATAACGATCAAAAACTATAAAGATTTTTATAAACTTGAAAGACACTACTAATTATTGTAATGATTGGCACTCATTTGACCCTAGCCCCCATACAAACTCCCCCGGACTTTTAATCTTTAGTATCGCGATGAAATTCCGCATAATTTCATAATTGTTTTGAAACTCCTTTTGTCACGAAATTAAACTAACCAAAAATCTTTAATGAAAATTATCCTTATATTATAGGCTCTATCGAACCTAAGAAATTATGGTTCCATGCTGAACCAGTGAGTTGAATTTGGGATCAGAAATGATAAGTAAAGTATTGCATTTAAATTAAAACTCGTATGTGTAGACTCTTAGTCCAAGCCTCAGAGCTAATCAGGCTTTTAAATATCTGTCCATGTTGATGTAAAATATCGATGAGATTGACCAGACCGATCTTGTAATCAGGATGATAACGCAATTTCCATTTTTCTGATTGGATTATAATAATAAAATAATTAAAACCAAAATATTCTATGAAGATCTAAAGGTAGATACTTCCACTACATATTGGAACAAAAATTCGTAAGAAAAACAACCTAACACCATTTTTTAGATCTAAAGTTATAAAAGCTTACCCAGTTGGAAGAAAGTGGCAACTCTGATAGGTAAAAATGTTTCATTTCCTATGCTCAGTATTCAGGTTTTTCTATTTCTATTCATATGGTAAAAAGGTCCATCACCTTTTATGTCACTTTTTTGCAAAACCATTTATGATGGTGACAATGATTATGGTGATGATAAAAATTGTGCTGCTGGTTGTGAGGGAGTTAAAAAAGAAACAGAGTGATAGATGTAAAGTGAACAGTTTTTCTTCAAAAAAATCCGGGGGACCTACTGATTCTTTATAATAGAACTCTCTTCCAAGCTCTTCTAAATGGGGAAGTTTGAATTTGAACGAATCTGGCCATTACACATAAGTTTTCGAGGTATCATATCCTGAAGGTACCGTTTATGGCCATATTTGAGTCGTTATAACAGTGCGAACACACCTTTATTATGTCATCTGAAAGTTCAATAAGACGACTTTAAAATAAACGTTTAATCTTTTCAATATCATCTTCCTTCTTCGAAATATATATATTAACCTAAATGCCATAATTTACATAAAATATGTAAGTTATAGCGTCATAATATCCTAGTTACACTGTCAACTACTAGTGAAAAATATAATACACAAAAGAACATAGAATATATTATGGAAATATTATACAACAATAAATGCAAAAAACTAACTGAAATAAAATAAGTAATCATGGCATTTAGTTTGTCATAGAGAAAAAGTTATTTAAAAAAAAAGACAAAAAGAAGAATATTATTTAAATGACACAAAATCTTAAGAACAGATTAAGTAGAATTTAAATACAGGATATGACTTTAAATTGGAATAACAAAAATGTATACATATAGAAACTTATGAGTACTTGAAAATTTCAAAAAGCACAATATTTAAAAGTCTATTGTTAGAGAAATAAACAAATAAGGAAAACAGGATACAACTCCCTAGATAGCTTAAATGCAAATTGTTTACACTTCTACTGTTTTTTTTTTTTTTTTAAATCATGAGTTGTTCACTCAACTCTTTAGGATATAAAAATTATAGACATTTTGACACTTTAATTGACATATGCATACATACAAATTAAAAAGTTATATAAAATGTTGGCAACAAAAACTTTGTACTAACAATTGATGTTGTCTATAAAGTTATAATAGATTTTAAGATTGACAAAATGTTGGAAATTAGAAAAAAGTTTACATATGAAAATTTCATATATAGAAAAGTTATACAATGCGAAGAGAGTCATAGTTATTTGTCTTTCAAAGATATGGTTTATTACTTAATGATGTCAATGTAAATAATAAATGTTATGTCTGCAAGTAAAATTGTCATATCTCAATGATGCCACGAATTCACCTTTTTTCAATTCATCCATCAATGATGGGGATTTGATCAATATTAACAAATTCTCAAAATCGTAACGTTTAGTCAAACTAGTATGTATATTTGTAAGATTAAATACAAAAACAACATAATATAGGCCATCACTTTATTTTTTCTTTTAAATTTCGCAATTCTACGTTATTTCTTTAACTGGCGTATACCCTCGAAAACAACATTGCTCAGGCCATTGTTTTAATTATTCGAAATTGAACAATCCTTCAACTGAAATGTTAGGAATGTCATCTTCTATATTCAAAATACTCAACGTTATTTAATGAATTTTCTATATCATTGAAGCACGATATGGTTCTTATAAGGGAGTTAAAGATTGAAAATAAGAAAGTTATGAAAAGATGGGTTTATGTTATCTTTGTTAACTTGTCTTTGGATGAACTGTTTCGCAAAAGGATATTCATATTCCCCCAAAACTCAAGAGATCCAATATCATATCAATAACGATTTTAATTTCACGAAAAAGGACATTGACTGTCTTGGGCCTCGATAGAATCTCGTTAAGGCTTCTTAAAGGTATACAAACAGGATACCAATTGGACACATATCAAACCATATTTTCTGCTAAGTAGCAGTGCAACACCTTTTATGTGACTTTCTAAGAGCGCTAACGGCAATATGGACAAAAAAGATCGCTAAATCGCGAACAACCCATACCTAACCTTAAAAAATGCATTATTGCTCTTCAATTTAGTTAAAAATTATATTAACAGATTAAGTAAATTTCAAACCAAAGATATATAATCAAAATTAAATTATATCATTAAAAATATATTCTACTTTGTTCACAAATTATTGGGATTGTCCAAAATCAAATTAAATCTAACATGTTGCAGACATTTCATTTATTTATTCCTCCTTATCACTAAATTCTACTGCAATTTTCTTTTTACAACGAAAATTTTTCAAACATACAAATATTTTCTAAACAATTGACATTTTATGTCGTATGTATTGATTTTTGTTAAATTGCCAATTTTCAAATACTTGTTCCACATAAGAATACTACAGAATTCAAGTAGACATGATGCTAAAGATTTACAATGTTGTACTCGTGTAGAATTAAAGGAAAAAAAGACATACAAAAATACAACGAAAAACAGTTGACACTATGCTGCATATAGAAAATACATGTAAATTTCATCAAAAAAACCAAAATTTTTAGAAGGAAAATATATGTTTATAAATCATCCATTCCCCCACTTTAAGCCACAAATTGCTGTCAAAACCAGACAAGCACTCTATAGAGCAACAAACAAGAGCATAAGAAAACAGACCCCTATTTAAGAATACCATCTTTATCAACAGTATCATCATCATTCTACATTCAACTATTTTATTCAAGTCATTCGTAAATGAAACCATTTATTATCATTTGTTTGTTCTTGTCCTTTTGCAAGGAAAGCCTGCTTGCTGCTGCATTTCCATCCACTTTCATTCACAACTACATCCTGTCGCAGCATTGATAAACTTAAAATAAACTGACAGCGCACTAATTGTTGTGGTTGTAGTAATAATAGTTGCTGCTGTAGTGGTTACATTGTAAGAATTTGTCGCATCCTTATGTAAACACATATACAGTCAGTGAGATGAACGAATAGCAAACCTTCTAACTCATTCTGCTAAATCTTGACATCGTTATCAAGTCGCTTAACCACCTACAGTGCGATACTACCACAACCTCTTCCATTTTTTTTTTTTATTTTATATTTCTATTCCGTCTTTTTTGTCTCTTATCTAAACAAATCCACATTTGCTTACATACTGCTGCATGATATAAAGGATGCATGAGGAATGGCATAAATAATTTCGAAAGGATGATGGCAAATCACAATTAACACAATAACACTAACGTTAGAAATCTATGGTTTAAGGTACAAGAGTGTGTTTTCATATCTGCCCGTCTATTTGCTGTTTGTCGTACCAGGACAAATACTTAAAGAGTGAGTCTAATAAAGTAAAGTGTACAAAAGACACGATGAAATGTAGAACATTTTAAGCGGTATTATGCATTTATTTAGTTGTGAGTGTTTGTCGTCAATATACATACATACGTGCGTATACTCTCTACGAATGCAGTGATAAGGACTAATTGATATGCATTGGAGAGTTTCACATTCCATTTGGCAAAAAGATTGACAAGTGTGGAGAAGGAATAATAATTTAATTAAGAAAATGGCAAGTTTAAAATAGGTATGTTTGATTTAAACTTTGAAACATATAGTATGTACCTTTGTATATTTTTTCAAAGTCCACAATTGACCCAATTCATCATTAAAGATCCTATTCTGAAAATCAGCCAGATGTCCATATTAGTATATATATACATATACATATGTACATGTATAATTTAGCATAAATATACAGATCGATACATAAGTGACCTTTATAAAACCTGCGGCAGAGTGAAATTCAAAATTCATTTTATAGGTAATAAACCCATAAATTTTGAATTATGTACATATATTCAATATCTTGAAATTTTCAGTGACGACCTAGTAATATTTGTTGTTATTGATCCTTTATTTATTAAGCTTTATAATTGTTACCAATGTAAAGTTAATACAATAATATTTACACATTTTATAGTAGCGCACAAACAGCTGATCTGCAGGCCAATTGTTGTATTAATTCCAAACAAATACGAAATTAACAAAAACTCACTAAACTCCAAAATGACCAAAAAGATTCTAATGGTTTGCATGGGTAAGTTTAAAGAATAAAACTAATTATAACAAAAATAAAACTTATTTCTTTACTTACAGGCAATATTTGTCGTTCACCCATAGCAGAGGCCGTAATGGCGAAAATTATTCAGCAAAACAAAGCAGCTGCTGCGACAGACGAATGGTTCATTGATAGTGCGGCCTTGGTGGGTTACCATTCAGGTTCACTGCCCGATGAAAGAGCATTAAATGTCTTGAAAAGACATGGTATTACATACGATAAGGAAGCACGAGTGATAAAAACTGAAGATTTCCAAGAATTTGATTACATAGGTATTTGGCATGGATCCTGGTAATGTGGCAGAATTAAAGAGAAGGGCTCCGGTGGGGGCGAAAGCTCAAATTTTATTATTGGGTGATTATGGCTTAAAGGACGATGAAAAGATTATACACGATCCTTATTATGTTAGTATGAAATGGATTTATGTGGTAATTCAATATTTCTTTAGTTCATTTATTTTGCAGTTTTTAGGCGAAGAACCCTTTGAAATTGTCTACCAACAATGCCAACAAGCTTGTGAGGCCTTTTTGCAAACACTTCTTTAAAAAAAACAAATGTTTTTAATTTTTCACTAAAATCTATAAATTACTTAAATCTAGCACACACTTTTCTTTAATTTTAAACACTTTTTATGAAATAAACGAAAGAAAACTATGTATTAAAGAGAAAACAAGCTAAAAATCCGCCGCCATAATTTAAACTTTTCTAGGCTTTTTTCTTCTTCTTTTTCAATTTGTTTTCATTTTACGCTATGAAAACTGTTATACTAACTGATAACAACGTAATTCAAATGTCAACTTTTTATTTGTCAGCTGTGAACTAAAGAGAAGCAGGTGTCAAAATAAAAGTCAGCTGTTTTTTATTTTGGTTTTTTCAGTTACCCAGCAGCAATTGAAAATGTTTTAACTTAAAACTTTTAAGTTTTTCAACAAAAAAGGTGACGTAGATAACGAATATACCCTTCTTATGCATAAAGTCATAACCAGGGAATCCGAAATATGCCAATACATGTTTTTTTATGGTGCGTCGTATACACATTTCATTTCATCGATTTTTTTAGAAATAGAAATTCGTTGCTACACTGATGGCTCTAAATTAGGAGACAAATAGGGAACTTTTTATACTAATCACAACACTAGCTTACGGGCAGAAGTGCATGCAATATCTAAACTGGATTTCAATAAATATGGCGCCATAAGGGGCAAATAAAATTTTAACTCAAAGTACTAGCATGTTATCTAGAAACAGATTAGAAAGATTTTAGAGGACAAGTTACTTTCATCATATCATTCAAATTCGAAATAAAAGTTTGAAATTATAAAAAAACTGTTTGTTGGGTTCTAGCCAACTTATTACTTATTAGGGTGATCGACTCGGTTTTTCAACCGGGTTTAAAACCGGTTTTTTCTGCTTTACCAGTGTCGGTTTTTTCTTAATGTTGATTTTTCGAATATCGAATAACCCGATTTCGAATACTTTTATTTGCTTTATATTCAAAGATTATTTAAATGAAATTTTTAAGTAAATAATAATACAGCCCGCCTAAATTTTAAAAATATTCGAGTCGAGGAGCTAGCGTATATTTTTCTAAAGCACCTTTGGTTAAACTTTTTTGATTTTCCTAATTAATTAAAAAAAAAATATTTGTAAAATTGATAACTGTTTGATACAATTTTATCAATCTTAAGATTATATTCCAATTACAATAATTAATTTACGGCTGAAATTTTATGGAAGTGTTGGAATGCCTATGCAAATTTCGTAAACAGGGCTTTTAAAATAAGCTAGAATTACATAGTACCTTATGTTTAACAGAAGTGTCCCACTTTTTTTCTAATTTTTTTTTATATTAAAGAAATAATGTAAATCAGGCGACTAGATCTAAAGTTATAATCTTTTAAACTGTTAAAAATCATTTCGGGCCATGTTTTATTAATCAAATTTAAACATAAGCATTAAGTTTTTCAAATTAAAATATATTTTTTTATTTATAATGAAAAACTGGTTAACCGGTTTTTTTTGAATTTGAAAAATATCAACCCGTTGTTTTTAAATGTCAACTATTCGAACTATTCGAAAACCGGTTTTTGGAAAATGTCGAATAATCGATCACCCTACTACTTATAAACTGCTTAATTGAATGGTATTTTGTTCTCTAGCTACAAGAAGAGCGAATGCACTTGTTATAAGAAAACCCACAAAAACCCCTCTCTGATATAAACAAATTTAATTTCACAATAGTTCTCAATTTTAAATAACAAAAATTGTCATTAGTGTTTTGTATTTCGTTAATAAAAGTTGTATATTAATAAATAAAATATGTACTATAGTTAATAACAACAAAATCATAATACAATTTTGCTTAATTTTAAAAATATATACTACATATAAAAAAATAAAATATTTTTTTTTTATAAATGTAATGAAGAAGAAAATCTTAATGGTTTGTTTGGGTAATAATGAGCTTTTCTTCGTAATAAAATGTAATCAACAATTATTTATAATTTTTAGGCAATACCTGTCGCTCTCCCATTGCTGAAGCTGTCATGATCGCCACAATAAAAAAATATCATGTCTATGAAGATTGGGAAGTAGATAGTGCGGCCATTGCTGATTGGCATGTTGGTAAAGAACCCAATATTCGTTCTATGAATATAATGAAAAAATATAAATTACCCTATAAAAATCGGGCGCGACAAATAAGGGCCTCTGATTTTAATGAATTTGATTATATTTTTGGTATGGATTTGTATAATATGGCTAAATTGGATGCCTGCATGCCACAGGGTTCAAAAGCAAAACTACTGATGTTGGGTGAATTTGGTTTGCCAGAATCGGATAGAATTATAGAGGATCCATATTGTGTGAGTATTATTGTTTGTTTTAAAGTCCGTATTGTATAAATACTAGGGTGATCGATTATTCGACATTTTCCAAAAACCGGTTTTCGAATAGTTCGAATATTTGACATTTAAAAAAAACCGGTTGATATTTTTTAAATTCAGAAAAAACCGGTTAACCGGTTTTTCATTATAAATAAAAAAATATATTTTAATGTGAAAAAATTAGTGTTTATGTTTAAATTTGATTAATAAAACATGGCCCGAAATGATTTTTAACAGTAAAAAAAAAAAGTATAAAAAAAATTAGGAAAAAAGTGGGACACTTCTGTTAAACATAAGGTACTATGTAATCCTAGCTTATTATAAAAGCCCTGTTTTGAAAATTTGCTTAGGCATTCCTCCAACACTTCCATGAAATTTCAGCCGTAAATGAATTATTGTAATTGGAATATAATCTTAAGATTGATAACATTTTATCAAACAGTTATTAATTTTACAAATAATTTTTTTTTAATTAATTAGGAAAATCAAAAAAGTTTAACCAAAGGAGCTTTAGAAAAATATACGCTAGCTCCTCGACTCGAATATTTTCAAAATTTAGACGGGCTGTATTATGATTTACTTAAAAATTTCATTTAAATAATCTTTGAATACAAAGCAAATAAAAGTATTCGAAACCGGTTTTTAAAAAGTGAAAAAACCGGGTTATTCGATATTCGAAAAATCAGCATTAAGAAAAAACCGACACTGGTAAAGCAGAAAAAACCGGTTTTAACACCGGTTGAAAAATCGAGTCGATCACCCTAATAAATACCAAATAAACTTTTAAGGCCCATTATTACATCATATACTTATAATAAAGAATCTTTTACTCTTTGGACAAATTCAATTTGAATTTTATTAAAATATATAATTTTTTATTTTTTATAGGCCCGTACTGATGCAGCATTTGAGAAAGTTTATCAACAATGTGTGGTGGCTTGTGAAGCGTTTTTGCAGAAGGCGCTAGCAAATGAAATTTAGAAATTAAAAATACGTTGTATATAGAAACTAAAAAAACAAAAAGACTTTGTAATAAAATATCGAATTTATTATGATCGGTGATCATAACAGTAAGGGGAAATCGAATATTTACTTTTTTATAATTGAAAAGTTTAAATTACTTGAAAATTTCGTAGTTTTTTTAGGATTTGTACTATAATAACCTACTTTGCTTAGGGTAAAATTTAAACCCAGCAAAGACAGTTTTCTTTTTAAGTGTGGGACTAAAAATGTGATACTCGAAGGGGCTACCCGCTGGCCCACATTCTACCATGTGAAATTTCATTACGATATCTCTAATAGGTCCCGAGATTTCCAAAAATGAATGTTTCTAAACTACTGTGTCACGCTATAAAGCAGCTTCAGCTGCATCACTCCTCCATCTTCTAGATCAAGACGTGAATATTAGTCCAAGTGCTTTCGATACACAAGGACATCACCTAATTATTATATGTAAATAGCTCAGGTAAAAATATACCCTTTATTCTGATAAAAAGTCATTTATTTATCTTCATTTTACCTGATTGCAATGTGGAGAATACAATAACAACAGCATGGGAGACAAAACACTCCATTATGTGAATACTCTCAAGTTATTTGACGTACGTGCTGTTGAAACCACCATTGAACAATACGGTCGTCTGTACTATTTGTGGGGCAATAAAAATGACAATCCTGTCCTGATATCAACCATCGGGATGAGTACATTCGGACTTAAACCTATTCCAATAGTTGTAAACAGAAAGTAATTATTAATTGTATCTTGTATTCTTTCTAAACAAAAGAAAGACAAAGTGGTATTGTAAAAACTGTTTATTCAAAAATGCCAAATGCCTTTTCATCGTATCATCCTACTATGTACAAATGTATGTCCAAAAAGTTGAGAACTTCTCTGATATGACATCTAATGATTTAATATATATTTTGATTTCAGTCTTCCGACTATCATAACAAACCATAAAGTTTGCCGAATCAACTCCACTAAAATACTACATACAGAAACATACATATGTACCTACATACACACACACCTATGTAAGTACATATGCATGTAATGACCAAACAAATTTGCACCATCCATGATGTAATAGTGCATCCTGGCACCATATGATTCTTTTATTTATGAATATTTAAAAAATGATAATCCAAAAATAATCAATGTAATTATTGTCATCCACAATATATAAACATATTTAAATAAACACCACCTACCTGTTTTCTAATCTTAAACTACAGCAGTCGTCTTGCCACACTAAAACTGTTTCAAAGAAAAATTTAAATTTCTTAATTTTAATTAAATTTTTCAATTATTTTCATTACATTTCATTTTAAACTCTCTCTAAAATAAACTTTTGCACAAAATATTATTTTTAAACAACGTAAACTTATTTATTTTAATCATTTTCACAAATTTTCAATACACCAAAGAAATCTTTTACAAAAACCGTGTCGCGCCATTTTTAACATTAAGCTTTTGCTTATTTCTCTTCTTCCTGTTCGCAAAATTACGTTATTTAGCTAAGTATAACAGTTTATTCGCTCCCTTCAAATACTGTTATATTTTGACATTTTAAATAAAAAAAATAAAAAAAATATTTTGACATTTTAAATAAAAACAACACACATGTGGGAGAAAAATCACAAACAGCTGTTTGTTTTGTTTTTGTTTGTTAAATGATTGGCTGTCAGCCAAAAGACACAAAGAAAAGTGAAAAACGGCGGTCAAACATTCTAGAATTTAGCAAATTTTCTAAATAAAATGGTTAAAAAGATTTTAATGATTTGTTTGGGTATGTTTAATTTTAACAAAATAGTTATTTTAATAAAAATATTTGTTATTTTACCACCATTACAGGCAACATTTGCCGTTCCCCCATTGCTGAGGCTGTCATGATTGACACCATCAAAAAAGCCGGTGTCTCGGATGAATGGGAAGTGGACAGTGCTGCCATTGGCGGTTGGCATGTGGGTAATTCTCCTGATTCTCGTGCCTTAAGTACCATGAAGAAACACGGTTTACCTTACACTAATAAGGCTAGACAAATTAAATCCAAAGATTTTGAAGAATTTGATTATATTTTTGGTATGGATTATGAGAATATGAGTGATTTGAAAGATCGTGCTCCTAAAGGCTCCAAAGCAAAGTTACTCATGTTGGGTAACTATGGTTTGCCGGAAGAGGAGAAAATCATTGAGGATCCTTATTATGTAAGTTTGTTGTTGGTGTGTGTTGTTAGGAAGTGCCAAATTTACTGGTTTTTATTGTTTGTTTCTTCCAGCAACGTGGTGATGCCGGCTTCGAAAAGGCCTATCAACAATGTGTGGTAGCCTGTGATGCTTTTTTGAAAAAAGCTTTAGCCAATGAGATTTAAAAGTCGTTTTGGAAATTTTAGAATTACAATTAATGATATTAAGGATATTGTGTTGAATAAAGTGACTTGGTCTGGAACCTTTGCAATAAATTGTTTGTACCTGCTCAAATTTCAATACGACGTTTATTTGGACTTACAAATAAGGAAAAAGACTAAAGGACTAATGCGCTTTGGACGTTTCAAAAAGGTATTTTTAATTTCATTTGACCTTTAAATAGTGTAAAATTACTCAAAAGTTTAAGGTTCTCGGTCAGCGATATCAGTCCATATTTATTCCAAAGTGAGGTTTATGATTTATTGATTTTAGTTAATTTTACATTAAATAAATAAAATTAAAAAGTAATAAAACTTATAATTTTCACAACTAGCCCAAAAATACGCTATTGAAAGCACCTCTCAAAGACCTTTCATATGATTTCAAAAATTCAAAACATACCTTTACGTAAAAGCTTAAAAACAACCTTTTTATAATTTGACCCAGCTCACCAAATATTGACCCGAGTTAATGTTTATTTTGTGATCCCGAAGAAATTTTGTACAAATATTTATTAGATTTACACCAAATTATATTTACTAATTGCTTTCTCTAATTTAAAGTCAATAGATATAAAATTTTGTGCTAATTTTTTTATTACAATTTTCTCTTAGTGATCTGATTGTCTTTAAGTCTTAAATTTATGTAAAAAAATACAAAAAGAAACGAAAAATTACCAATTTATTACTTAAACTACGATGCCTTTTAAAACATCATCTATAAAATGATCCCATTTTAATTGCAACAAAGCGTAGGCTCTTTGCTTTTCGCCAGCCTGCAACATGGAATACTTAATGGAATTCCATACTAACTGTTTCAAAGTCTTAAGACCTGCATTATTGGGTGCCAAACTCATAATGGCATAATAGAAATCATAACTTAAACCTTTAGCATTCCAAAAACCGGGATCATCGTTACAAATCACAATAGGTATATTTTGGGAAATGAAAAAGGAACCGGGATGATTGCGTAGATCTAATACTAAATGTAAAACCTGATTTGAGATAGGACTAACTTCCACAGCTATATCGCGGGTCTTGACAGCATTCCATAGTACAGGATGTTTCATGAGAGCATAACCATGACCAATACGAGTGGTATTTAAGAGTATAGCATCTAGTAGATTAAAATCTGTGGAGGCACCATACCAATCTGGGTAAGAGAGGAAACGTTAGATTTGTTAGCAATTAAATTTTTATTAGAAGACTCACTTGTCTCTCCCGCATGAAAGAAAAATCGGGAAGATTTAGGTTTATCACTGAGAGCATTAACAAAATTATATAAAGGTTTACCCTTGTCTTCCTGACCCACCAAATCGAAGCCAATTATATAATTGGGATAGGATTTACTGAAATAATAGTTATTTAAAATTATATAAATTAATTATAAAAACAAAACTATAACGAAAACTTACTGTAATTTCATAAATGATTCAAAATGTTTACGTATAACATCACTTTCTACATTACGATGTGGCGAATAGATCATTTTTATACCCAAGAAATCGGGATGTTGTAATTTAAACTTTTCCACCACATCAATCAATTCGGTAACACTACGCTCAAGAGGGAATATGCGGCCGCTAATGTCATACAACTATACAAAAAGACACATAAATTAGCAACAATTTTAAGATTAAGAATTGACTGTTCCAATACTAGTCAAATTTATAGTTTTAGGTTAGAATATGATCTACAATTTAACTAGTATTACTTAAACAAATCGAGTGTATTATTAACAACCTCATGAAAATTTAAGCGCACTTCCGCATACATAACATTATCATTGTACAACTCTTCCAACATTTGCCAATGATAGGCACGATAAGCGGGTATATAGAGTAAAGCATCCGATATTGTTCTAAACATGTTTTGAAATTTTGTCCAAACAATATTTATCGATGAATATTCTACTGAAATTAAAATAAAAAGCTAATTAATATAACATTTCACATATTCGGAAAAACTTACATTCCGGCGCAGGCGTATAAAGATTTATAAATTTTTCCAGGGCACGATCATAGTCACGACTTGAAATTGAATTTTTACGTTCATCACTTACTCGCACATATTGAGTGGTGCAACCATGTTTTTGTGGCAATTTACGGAATGTTAAAATACTCACACCCTCCTGATTAGTACATCTCAATAAGCCGGGCATATAGAATATGTTTCGCACCACCCATGCCGATGACACAGTGGCTGAGGTGTGTGTATGTAGAACAGCTCCTTTAGGCATTTTTTGTAAAAACTTAAAAACTTTACTGCTATCGATGAGTGGTTTTGCTTTAAAGAAATGCATGCCGGCGGCATTTTTGTCGGGATCCCGAAAACCTTTTGCCAACTCATCGTATTTATACTTGAGGAAAATATCATCTACTTTTGATTCACGACTATTTAGATGTAAACGTCCGCCGGTGCTAAGGAGATCTTCGGCTTGTATAACTGCTTCTCGAGCATCTTGATAAGCTAAAAAATTTTGAAGCAGTTTAAGTTAAAAAAGTTTCTAAGCTGTTGTTTTCCAAAACTTACGCAAATAATTACTCTGTTTTGAGACTGCAACTGTTATTAAGGCTATTAAGGTGGTTGTGATTAAAAGGCTGTGGTTAAGCATTGTGTGTATCTTAATTAAGGTGGGTTCTTAAGTCTGAAAGAAATATACATATAAAAATTTTATTATTTCGATATAATATTAAATTTAACGCTCTTTCTAAAGCTTATGACGACATAAAACATTTTATAAATTAAGGTATCTCCGCGCTGTTATAACGTATAGAATGGGATGAAAACTTTTTTCAAAAAGGCTATGATATATCGAAAGACTAATATGATGGTGATATAATTGGAATAGACTCGGAATCAGTACAGCTCAATACTATAAAAAAATTGTACTTTAGTCCAAAAGATTTTACAAGTTTTGCCGTTGTACTATTAATAATGGGCGTGGCACCTCCAATATGAAGTAAATACTAAAATTTGTATATCGGAGCATTATAACAGCTAGATAGCTTACATTTTTCATGAATAACTTTACTATTATGTACATATGGGCGGTCCAACAATAGTAGTCACGGTATCTAGGAATTCAAATAACGGACATACATAAAAACAAGAACAGTATTTTGTTTCATTTATTAGCGAATTAGGGTATTATATTGAAAATTCTTAAAAATTCTTTTGTTTCATTTATTAGCGAATTAGGGTATTATAGGGAATTATATTGAAAATTCTTAAAAATTCTTTGAGATTTCGAAATTGTTTTTAAAATGTAACTTTTCGAAAATGTAAGAAATTGTTAAAAGGAATCAGTTATCGACTGATCCTCATCAAATTCTGTTGGAATATTTCAGTTCCCTTAGAATTTGTTTATGCCGAATTTCATCGCTGTACTAGTATTTTTAAGACAGTATTACCTTACCCACCTTATGTGGGGTGTAGGGTCAATTATGTACCGATTCTCATAAAATTTTGTACAAAACTTGTTTATGTCGAATTTCAGCGCTGTACTCGTATTTTTTAGCCAGTAGTGTGGGTAAAAGTAGTTTTCTGAAGGGGACTTTATATGGGGAGTAGGCTTTGTAGGGCGATAGCGGTTAGTATGTGAAAACTTGGACCGATATTGCCCATTTTCAATACCAAACAAACCTTACCTATAGGGAATGTTTTTGAAATCATCCAACTTCTTTCGTTCAGACCCTATCGGTCTTTTAAAAGGCAGACGGACGGACATGGCTAGATCGTTTTAGAATTGAATAAGAACCCAGAAATATGTATATTATACTTTTATGGGTATATTTGAAGTGTTACGAACGGAATAACAAAATCAATATACATATGTACAAAAAATTTTTTAATGGTAAAATCTTTTCAAAACCTAAAAATTTACAACATAATTTTTTCGTCTCTCTACACGATAACTCAAGTCGTTCTTCTTATTTGAACCCGAATATCTTTTGATATTAAACGAGATATGTAACTTTTCTTAGAATTTTAGTATAATTATTAAATTTCAATGCAATTTAATGTTTGAACACTTGAAATTATATTCGAAAATTCGAAATTACTTTCGATAAAAGCTTCTAAAATTACTTAATTATTTTCAAAAATTTGAAGTTTAATTTAACTTAAAATCAAATTTCACTATAAATTTAATTATATTTAAACAAATCAATGATTCAAAGATTAAAAACAAATTCCATAACTTATTTTTTGCAAAATTAACACTTTTTTTCTAGAAAATCCCCAAATAAATGAACTCAAATGTTTTGCGTCAAAACACATAAACTACAATTTAATTAATTATACAAATTGTTTGGAAACACAAGAAACTGACTCTAACAACCAATAATTTGTTCCTAAAACTATAGAACACGTACGAAAAAAAAAACTTCCTCAAGGAAAAATTTTCCTCAGCATAAATTTGAATATTTTTTTTTTTTAATGAAAATATTTTGTTAATCAATAGCACGAGAAAACGATTATATTTTCAGTTGGAGATAAACAAATCCAGCAAGAAAACACAAAAATTTAAGCGTCTTAAAATTCACACATAAATTATAAGAAAACTGCATTTGAAGTTGTTAAATTAAACACATTATTTGATTATGAGTAGAATAGAAAAAAAAAAAAAAAACATATAATAATATGACGTAAATTTCACTTAGATGCAAATTGGGCTTATCACACATACTGATGGATATATACAGATATTTTGTACATTTAATACATTTAGCATTTGTATGATAAATACTTTGGTAGTTTTATACACAAAATTAAACAAAGATTTTTATTTAATTGTTTTTTTTTTATTTAATTCAATTAAATTATTTTTTTTCGCGTAATAAACAAAATCTGATTTTATAACTTTAAACCCAGGGGAAGTTTCTCTTTGAAAAAAAAATGTGAATCATTTTTAAGTCAATAGTTTTTGGAAAATCATATTGATTTGATTGCAATCACGTTTATGAATATTTATTTTATAATTATTACGACCTTCTGTTACAAATTTAAGAAACATTTTATAAGCATTAACACTAACCATAAAAAAATTTTGTATTGTATTTGTAAATTACACTCCAAAAAGGTGTTAATTATGATTTTATTTAAAGGCCGTTTCAATAGAAAGTTTCATTTAATTTTTCGTTTCTTTTTTTTTTTTTTTTTCTTTCACACAAATTTTTTCTCCGTTTTTAAATTCATCCGCTTTTTAACACGATTTGTTTAGCACTGTTTGGTCAAAATTTTCGTAGACTACGAAAAAGTTTCAATATTTTTTTTGCCAAAAATTTTTCTACTAGCTCAAAAAGTGTTCAAATATTCATGACGACTTATAAGCGAATAAAGACAAATTTGTTCTATCTGTTTGTTATTTATGTGATTTTGCTGTTGTTGGTTTTCTTAGTGGGAGTTTAATTGTAAAAAAAATGCTAATAGAGAAAGACAAATGTAAAGACCCTTTAATATTGCAAGTACGCTACATTAAGTAGATTGAAAGTTTTGAATTGATACTTGACAGATATCTTTATATTTCTGTATTTAGTTTCGTATGTTCTATTGCGATTTATTGAAGTTTTTTCGCAGGAATAAAACAAGTTTATTTTTTAACATACCTGAGAACTTCCACATACTCTATCAATCTTTTGATTTAAATTGAGAATGATACTGCTGCAAAATCGTAGACAGCCAAAAAGAGAAATATTTTTAATATGAATGTATTGGTGAAAGTTAAAGTTTTGTTGGTGTTGAGTTCCTCTAAAAAGTCTTTTATTATGTTTAGAAATCTAAACAGCAAAAAATCTTAAATTTTTTATAATAATCGTTAGTTATTTCATATATTACTTGGTAATGAGTGGTCATTATCAACCACATTAACTTAATTATAAGTTTTGTATCATTATGTGTCTTATGACTATTACTTAAAAAAATGTGTCTTCATGTCTTTTAGAACATTTAAAACAATTTAATTAAGAAAATGTTTAAATTTTCTCGGCTGTGGAAATTTTTTTTTTTGTGCTTCCTAAACGTTCCAAAATAACTAGTTATTGTATAGCTTATTTGTGGGTGCATTTACATCTTGTTATTTCTTAAACCATGTCGCACCAAAAATATGTAGAGATTAACCACAAGTAGCAAATAGCTTTTACTTAGCTTCTACATAACATTCCTGCTTACCCGATAAATAAAGTGATGACTGGCTATCTTATCATAACTCCTTTTTTTGGAGAAATACACTATTTTACTCTATTGGACCTAAAGTATTTTTTATAGTTGGAAAAGGTGCTACTGAAGTTGTTTATCTTGGATTCAAAAAAATAAAACGTCAAAATAATCATGTTTTAAAATATCTACAAAAAGACTTGTTTAATTGTTTCTGTTCTATTTTTGCTCCATTTTTTTACGTTGGAGTTATCGTTTAATTAAACAGCACAAACTGAAAATACCTTTTAATTATCAATATAATTGAAACCATCAAATATTACACTCATCAAAATTGTAAAAAAAAACACATTATTTTCTATAACTAATTAGACTTTACTAAGGATTAACTACTATTAAGGGCACTTTTCATTGTAGAAACATTCACAAGGGGTTTGCTTGAATCATACGAGAACAGTTAGGAATTCATTTAAGGCTTTTGAGAAATTAGAAATTAGACCAATTTGCATAACAAGAATTTAGTCAAAATTTCGAAAACTATTTTCATCCAAATAAATACATTTCGCACAAACACAACAATAAAATGGAAATAGACCACTTTGTAGTTTAACCCCCATATTCATAAACATCATTTTATTTTAAAAAAGGTTTATAAAAAAACAATTTTCATACGAAATTTGTTTTATAAACCCTTTATAAAATAAATGTTTGTTTACAAATAAGTCTTTAAGGGTATAAAATGAAGGGTATTTTCCATTTCGTTTTACACCTAACAGATTAGCTCTATGTTAATTGCTATTAAATAAACATTTCGCACACTTGACACATTAATGTTTTTATTGTAATTTTAGTTATATTATTTACTTACATAGAAAATAAAGTAGGAAAGAATTAGTTTACTAAAACATATATAATTATTTGTTATTTTTTCACAATTATTTCTAAATTCGTTCATTTACTACAAGACTTTTGTTTTTTGAAATGTTTGTTATTTTCTATGTGAGATCGTTTTTTTTTTGGTTATAAATAAATAGGAGAAAAACTATTATTAACCTTTACTATATAAATCTAGTTTTAATTTTTAAATTCCACAATTTGTTTAAAAGTAATTTTGAAAATAGTGTAATGTCATGTTGTTTTTTTTCTTCGGAATGTTAGTTTTCGAGTTATGCTAGTATTGTGGTAAATGTTGTTTGTAACCAAAACAAAGAGTTGTAAAAGTTCTTCGAAAATTTTGGGTTGGATTTTTTATAATATTTTATAACAATTATTCTGATCTAACCAAATCTAAATCTTGGTTTAGATATTTTGGATTTTCTTATAAAAGCAACAAAATTAGAGAGGTGACTACAAGAATAAGTACAAAAAAAAAAAACAACATGTATTCTGTTTTTGTACTAGAATTAGTTTACTGTCAAAAATGATATATGAAACGTAAACAAATAACATTCATAACATATAAGCAATAACAACTTTTGACAGAAAGGATACTATACACAAAAATGAAATAAAAAACAAGTAAGAAAGTATAGTCGGGCGTGGCCGACCATATGATACCATATATACACCACACAGTGGTATAGGAAAAAAAAAAAGAGGGAAATAATTCGGTAACTTCTAAACGGTTAATCCGATTTTAATGAAATTTGGTATGCACAAAGAGGAGGTGTTGTCGAGTTTAGGTTTTGAATTTGGACCTTATAGGCCAACCAGGGGCCCGGCGGGGGGTCCTCAAATTAGGACACCTCGGCTATGTTAAATTTTTAAAACGATCCTATTTCTTCATTTGAGTTCCGATTTAAAAAAAATTTCGTATATAGAATCTCCTCATCGAGCACTATAAAAAATGTCGTCGTAGCAGTAAATTATCTCTTATAGTTTAGGAGATATTCGCATTTGAATATTAAAATTTTAAAATTTTTACCGCCCTTACTTTAGTTTTTTTGATAATAGCAGGTCCAAATATTTCCGATTTTCGCCATTTTTTTTATTTGCTTAACAACAAGTTTATATACCAAGCAGTGAAAGAATTATGTAAAAATCATGACTGAGTCCAAAGTTATAGGCATTTAAATTTAAAAAATTAAAAAAAGGCGATTTTTTGTCATTTTTTTGGGAAAAAAGTATCTTTTTCTTTTTAAGTTATCTAAAAAGTTTCTAAGAAGATGTATATAGAATTTATACTTTTTGGAAAGCTGACTTTACATAAAATACGATAAATGAAACAAAACCTAAAAATTTTTGATACCGAGGGGACCAGGTCCATCCAAAAAAACCCTATTTTTTATGGAAAATTAAATTTTGAGCAAAAATTCTCAAATCGCATAGTCGATATCAAATTATAGTGACCTGTTTTATATGACCCAATAAGTTCTTAATCATTTTGTAACGGGTTTCGATAACCCCGCCCCTGGTATGGATATAATAGGCAAAAAACCAAAAAATCCCATTTTTGGGATTTTTTAAAACTTTTTTGGGAATTCCGGGATTTCTAATAAGAAAATTCGAAATTTTTATTTAATTTTGGATTTTGAGTAAAAAAATCTACCTAACTGTAAAATTTCATCAAAAAATATTCATAAATAAAATTTTTATTGCAATTTGAAAAATTTGTATCTTCGCAAAAACTGAATAAAAAACATTTTTTAATTTTTTTTAAAAAAAGTATTCCGCGAATTTTTTAATTTTCAAAAATTATATACAGTTTTGAAAAATAGACAAAATTACCTTTCCATTGATATATAACATGCCTACCTAATGTTTTTTAAGTGACAAATTAATTAGGGAAAACTCAACATCTTTTAGAAAATTTACCTAGCACTATTATTTTCATCCATATATGTAACAAATTTAAGAGTTAACCTTATGGATGAAAATAATAGTGCTAGGCATATTTTCTAAAAGATGTTGAGTTTTCCCTAATTAATTTGTCACTTAAAAAACATTAGGTAGGCATGTTATATATCAATGGAAAGGTAATTTTGTCTATTTTTCAAAACTGTATATAATTTTTGAAAATTAAAAAATTCGCGGAATACTTTTTTTTAAAAAAATTAAAAAATGTTTTTTATTCAGTTTTTGCGAAGATACAAATTTTTCAAATTGCAATAAAAATTTAATTTATGAATATTTTTTGATGAAATTTTACAGTTAGGTAGATTTTTTTACTTAAAATCCAAAATTAAATCAAAATTTCGAATTTTCTTATTAGAAATCCCGGAATTCCCAAAAAAGTTTTAAAAAATCCCAAAAATGGGATTTTTTAGTTTTTTGCCTATTATATCCATACCAGGGGCGGGGTTATCGAAACCCGTTACAAAATGATTAAGAGCATATTGGGTCATATAAAACAGGTCACTATAATTTGATATCGACTATGCGATTTGAGAATTTTTGCTCAAAATTTAATTTTCCATAAAAAATAGGGTTTTTTTGGATGGACCTGGTCCCCTCGGTATCAAAAATTTTTAGGTTTTGTTTCATTTATCGTACTTTATGTAAAGTCAGCTTTCCAAAAAGTATAAATTCTATATACATCTTCTTAGAAACTTTTTAGATAACTTAAAAAGAAAAAGATACTTTTTTCCCAAAAAAATGACAAAAAATCGCCTTTTTTTAATTTTTTAAATTTAAATGCCTATAACTTTGGACTCAGTCATGATTTTTACATAATTCTTTCACTGCTTGGTATATAAACTTGTTGTTAAGCAAATAAAAAAAAATGGCGAAAATCGGAAATATTTGGACCTGCTATTATCAAAAAAACTAAAGTAAGGACGGTAAAAATTTTAAAATTTTAATATTCAAATGCGAATATCTCCTAAACTATAAGAGATAATTTACTGCTACGACGACATTTTTTATAGTGCTCGATGAGGAGATTCTATATACGAAATTTTTTTTAAATCGGAACTCAAATGAAGAAATAGGATCGTTTTAAAAATTTAACATAGCCGAGGTGTCCTAATTTGAGGACCCCCCGCCGGGCCCCTGGTTGGCCTATAAGGTCCAAATTCAAAACCTAAACTCGACAACACCTCCTCTTTGTGCATACCAAATTTCATTAAAATCGGATTAACCGTTTAGAAGTTACCGAATTATTTCCCTCTTTTTTTTCCTATACCACTGTGCACCAGTTATGAATATTAAATGTGATTTATTTTTC